AGGGCATAAGAGGAAATCTCTCACGTAGGGAAGATATGCTGCAACTGCCCTCGCTAAGGTCTCTTATGGGTTTGCTCTTATGACTCAGCTCGGCTAAGAATAAATCCTGAACTCGTCAGAGCGCTGGTGCAGCGTGGTTGGGAATTCCTGCCTTCCTTGGAGATTTGCCTCTCGCTGTGCGCACAGTGGAGAGGCCAAGCCAAAACCTGGGCGGGATGGCTGCAGTTTGGAGATTCCCTGCTGGTGGCTTCCTTGTCAAGGCAGAGAAGAAAGCAATGAGCCCCCTTTCATGGAGTTTACATATGGCTAGTCTGTGGTCAGTTCCTGTTTTCCGTGAAAAGGGCATCTGAGTAGTGGGTACCAGGTACATAAGTAGAAAATACTAATTTTCTACTAGTGAACCACCCCTTTCCTGTCAGTCATCTATTAGAGAAGGCTTTTCCTGCTCGAACCCTGCTGTGGTTGAAGTTCTCTGAAGAAAGCTTTATTTCAGGCTGTTTAATTTTAGCTACTCCTGCAGTCCTATGTGTCTAGGTTTGAACGCTGCATAAACAGCCCCAGGAAGGCACAGAATGACACTCAATGACACTTAGGTATCTCTTTGACCAACTGGCCACTTACAAGGAGAGCATGAGTCAAAGAAAAGCTGGTTTTGTTAATGGGACTAGAACTGAAGTGCCCCAGTCTTAGCAGACTGTGTTAAGTCAAGGGTCACTTTCAACTATGGCTGTAGATGAAGGTTTGCAGGGCTACCACCAGGTTTTGCTACCACCTGGGTCCCCCATGAGCTATGACTTGTCAGAACCTTTCTGCTTCCCCCTGACTTCCCCCTGATCAGCATAAGCTGATACCACCAATCCCTTGGAGCAAAGGATGCACCCTCGCCTATAGGATGGATATACCATCAAGCCACTCTGTGGATCCCACTTTGACTAGGCTCTCCATAAGGCAGCCGCAAGAAGTTTTTGGGGCTTCAAAGCGAAACGTTTTTTGCATGGATTTCAAACAAACACATTCTTGCAATTCCAGACCAAGTTTGTTTGCTTTGAGTGTTGTGATTCCGTGATTTCTAGGTAGCTTTTGAGTTGTTATTTTTCCTCCAGTTTTTAAGGGCTTAAGACAGGAAATAATATTATGTACAATAATCAGCCCAAATCAAGAGAAAGCTATTGCATGAAAATATACAATGAAGGTCACTAGCAGAGCAGGACGTGAGTTTGTATTTTTTACATCCTTTTCTTGTGCCTTGTTACTGAACCACCTTCCTTTGTGTTAAGATCATCTTAGTCTAGAATCTCTTACTCTAAGCCACTGCCAGACAGGAAGGAAAAAAACAAAACCTCTATAGGAGAGATCCTGCAGAGTGACCCCCTTTTATGTTTTCTCTTTAAAAGACCAGATCTTAGGAAACAAAACCAGGAATTCAATCAGAGCACGTGCTCGGGAAATGTCTCAGATGAGCCTCAGAGTCAGCAGGTTCATTGAAATTGCAGACCCATGCTTGTTTTTTGGAATAGTTGTTTATTGCTCTATATAACAAGGCTTTTCCAGCTCCCTGGAGATCAGGTTCTGGGAAGTTTGCCCACAGTTCACTCAGATCCTTTTCTAGATGGGAACTTTTATGGACTCATACATCCCATTTCTAACCAAGGTGAAGTTATCAGAAGGGCTTTATTTTTTTTTCCTCCCTTCAGTGCTTCCTTCCCTGTTTAGAAACACAAAGGCAGATTGTACAAAAATGGAAACTCACATTCTTGTCAGTCTGAACCAGCTGTTTCAGTGGTTTTAACATTATCTGGGCTAGAGGGTGAGAAGGAGCTGGAGAAGAAAGCTTTTCCCTGCTTTGGCATCACCTCCCCCCAACTCTGCCCCTGGTTTGCTGTAAAACTTGAGTTTGTCCCTTCTGTTGCAACTGCAATAATTTGTGTAGTTCAGTTGCATTTTCAAATGCAAGGGTTAGCTTTCCCAAATCCATGTTTTACTGGATTACTCCACAGGGATGAGAGAAGGAAGGTGTTTATATTTGTTCTCTGAACATGCCTGCACTTCATTTTATGTAACAGAATCTGGCAAAATAGCAGCACCAATGCATAAATGTGTGTATGCAGGTAGCCAGTCCTCTTCCCTTCTCTTATTCCCATGCATAATCTTGAGAAATCTGTTAAATTTATGGGGTTAGATGATGAAAACCTCCCGCGTAAAGGAAAAGCCAAATGAGAGTCAGAGGGCATGTGCAAAACAGTCAAGGGACAGCCAAGTTGGTCACTGGGGCTTTGGGATAGTGAATGTTATAATAATCATTTCAGGGAAAGCTGGTTATTATTGCAAACACAAATTTGCAGCTACTTAAATAAAAACAAACAGTGAAAGCAGTACAGCTGCAGCTGTATCAAGTCCTTGCCTAGGAAATATGCCTTTTTAGGAGTAAAAAGGGGGATAATATACATTTTCCTTTCTTTTTAAAGGATTTGGAGAGTGAAAGGGGAAAGTGCTACGAGTACTGCTGAGCCTTCGAGAAGCATGCACCTAGGGAGGACAAAAATAACTCACACCTGGAAACTGGAGCTGCAGCAAGGGCTGGGGTAAACAGTGGTCAGGGAGAGACAGGGAAGTCCCTGGGTTTAGTGGCTGAGGAAGAGCTGTTGAGACCGCCGAGTGCCCGTAGTGATTAACTCTCCAGAAAGGCACTAAGGTCTTGTAAGCTCTTGCAAGGAATAGCAAGCGAGGTGTAATTATAAAGTAGGGTGATTCATTCACACCAACCATCATTAATTGTTTTATGAACTATGATGTGAGTAAGCAGATATAAAATATTAATTGCTATCTGATGCTTAATTAATATATCCTCAGGTTGTGACAGTCCTAATTAAAAAGCTGATACTTCAGTAAGATGAATTCCAGCCTAAGATACTGCTGAGGACAAGGAAAAGCAATAAAATCATGCTTTCTAAAAGCATGGTTTTAGTTAGTTCTGGTCCTGGATAAATTAGATCAGTGGAAGCTGGTGCTACTCATCTGATATAGTTTGCCTTAGAGATGCTCTTATAGGTGACCTGATTTTTCAGCCTGTTAAAGGGAACAGAAGAACTTCTGTTGTCCATAATGTGTGAGGCACTGGGGCATTGAGACAGGCAGTTCAGAATGAATGAGCATAACTCCTGAAACATCCTCCTTCAGCATACCTTTTTACCTGTAAAGGTGGTCTTACCAAGCTTGTAGGAACAATTTCTTTTTTTCTAAAATAATTGAAATCAAAGACTTCAATAAGACAGCATTGCTCCCTGAAATGGAGACTCAGTAGCCTTCCTTGGCTCTATTTTGTATTGTAATGCATAGAATCACCCTTATCTAACCTGCCTGAGCAGTGGCCTTGTTTTAAAATCTTCTGCCTCGGATAGCGCAAACTAAATGTATTTCCCTCCATGCGACTGAGCCATGAGAAAATAGGAGCCACAGGAGATGAACTGTGTGTGCAGACTTAACCAGAGCAGGGTGTCTAAAGGGTGGTTTTTGGACTGATGTGCTTTTACTTCTGCAGTGTAACTCAGAAGCGCTCTAGTGTCACGTCACCTGTGTCAGTAACAGCTTTCCTGCAGTGAAAAGTTCTGCATTTCAGCAGCAGCACAGGATACGTGCATGTGAGTCATGAGAGGATGTTTACTCTTGGAGCCCCTCTGCTCATGCCTCTCCTCCACCCTTCAACCTTCCCAAACCCAGAAGTTTTCTCCCTCTGTGTCTATAACCCTTCTGTGTCTGCTTCTGGTAATGTGAGGACCACCCTAGGGTTATATGAAGACTGACCTTTAAGTACCCAAACTTTTGAAGAGGTGCTTATTGTCTGAAGTATAAGCTTTGTAGCCAAAAGCATGGGTGTAGAAAACCCAGAATCATACTTCTTTTAAACTGCTGAGTTGCAGGAAGCATGAGCTCTAGCTAAATTCACCCTAAAGACCCAGATTTGTGCTGTTTTCTGAGTGTCCTTTCCAACAGTCTCCATCTGCACTATGCACAGGCAATAAATATGCTGTTATACTTCAGTTTTGCAATAGCTTTATTAGTATTCAGAACCTCGTATTAGTAGAACTTATTTAAAAAATATAATAGATTTTTACATCAAATATATTTAGATTTTTAGGGCAGGGAATCACCACCATTTTGTGAAGCAGTCTCTTGCTTCCAGCCGTGGTTTGTACTTGGTTATTCAGGAAAAAAAAAAAAAAGGGAGAAAATAAAGCAAAAGAAAAAATTCAGATCTATCTTACATGAGGGTGAAACAGAAATAACTTCACAGAAGTCCATGGGCAGAATAAGTCTTCTCCAGTACAAAACTGAAGAGAGTTACATTCATAGCTAGCCTGAATTGCTCAAGTTCATCCCTTAATGAGTGCATCTATACATCACAGTAGACTGAGACTGAAGTTAGAACTAATAGTAAAATACTATATACAGGAGTAGAAGGGCCAAGGTTTTTCTTCTGAGTATTACACTAGTCAGGTAATGCCCTGATGCACAAGATTACTTTTACTTGTAGCTTATCTAGCTGTGAGTAGCCATTAAACAACAAGAATGTTTTCAGAGCCGAGCACTCAATGCAGAGCACGCTGCTCTCCATCTGCACGGGTCTAGATGTTGATAGAGCTCCGTGGGAGCTGATCTTCCATAGCGTGTGAAACAGTCTGCTGCTCACCGCTAAGTGCCAGGCTAGCCAGGACAGACAGGGACATTTGCCACATGTGAGAAGGTGACTACATTCAGTTGGCAAAAATCGTTAGTAAGCATTTCAGAAAATGAACAGTGTAACAGAGTCCAGCTACAAAGTGAAGAAGCCACATTCATTACTCAATCAGCGATGAATAGATTTTGATGAGTTCATGTTCAGAGGTTTTATTGCTAGTTAATAAATAGGAGTTACAAGCAGATACTCGGGCTTTCTTCCCTGTTACGGGCAGGACTGATGATCATTCCTTTTTGTTGGCCTTAGGTGCTTGCCTGGAACAAGATTATTTGCCTTTTCTGCTACGTTTCTGATCTATTTTCTTTATAGCAGCCTGTACCCATCTCTGCTCAGGGCTTACGCAGATCTTGAAGCCTTTTGCAGTGATAAACCTGCAGGAAGGGAGAAAGACAGACAGACAGCCGTTAAACTTTGGTTTTCAAATTCAGGTTTTGTGCTTTTATTTTTATGCAGAATGTATGAGAGGACCAATGTGGTTAAAGACTCTTACAGGCCTGAGTTTTTGGTTGTTACTTGGAATAATAGCAACCAGCAACATCAGTTCCCTATTTGTGTCATGCTCTACTCCAACCCCTTGCTTAGATTTCTTCCCCCTCTCTGGGTCAGAACAGTCTGGCTGTTCAGCCAGGTTTCTACCAGCTTTGGGAGCAGCACAAATTCCCCCCAGTCTCTAAGGTTCAACCCTCCTCAGTCTGGTGACTGCTTCAGGGCGGAACTGAGGGGCACTGAGAAGAGAAGGGGAATGAGCAGGCTGATGTGGTGAGCAGGGCAGTGACGTGTCCTCTCCTGTGCCCTGCTCCTCTGTGGTGGCGGTGTGTTTGTGCAGGTGAGCCTGAAGGAGGTCAGTGTGCCAGATACTCACATGACAGCATTTACTGGGACGTGCTGCTTTTCGTAGTTGACAAGCGACCTGATGTCCACCTTCTGTGTGGATAGGGTTACGCACGTGAATCTGCGCATGGGCTGGCTTCCAGCACTCCCTGGTAGGGGCGAAAAGGGAAATGACAAGAGCTTCAATAACACGTTCCCAACTAGCCATCGTTATTGCCTCTAAACCGTAGGTCCAAGAAGGATTCCAATTTCCATTTGAACATCAATGCTCTCGAGATGTACAATCAGAACACCACTTACACAAGATAGTTCAATATGTCTTTTTGTGACATCTCTAAACTATAATTCCTATTTTAATTACGACACTAGTCTTCATCCAGTTTGCTCAACAGTAGTGTTAACTTTCTGCTGCCAGTGAGTAGCTGAGCTGCTTCCACTAGTGGAAAAGATGTTTAGTGTGATGCATGATGCCATGACCTGTTGCACCTATATGTAAGTGCCCCCATGGAGTTGCATTTAGAACTGGTGCCTTTTCTGGGTGGATTTCAAATGTCATCTGTTAGTGGATTAGTACTATTATCCCTACTTTCTAAGTGAAGGACAGGATGTTATGCTGATTCACACTTGACATCCAAAACTAGCAGGAGAAAAAAAAAACTATTGAAAGAAAGAGTTTATAATTGCCAGAAAGCCAAGAGTTTGCATTCTCTTGCTATAACACTAATTTTATAGCTAGCAAAGGGCTGATGGTACTCTCTTCCATCCCACGTTTGCCTGTGTCCCAGGGAAATGCTCTGATGATTAATGCCAGGGGGAAATTGGTACAAAATCCTTGGGGCAGCTATCTCCTCACATCGTGATAATTAAAAATGGCAGCTTATTTAAGGGAGATTTTGTATTACTGCTTGCTCATTTCTCGTTTCCTCCACCCTTCAAAGACAAATTTGAGTAGGCATGAGGGAGACGAGCAGAAATCTTGGAATACAGCAGTGTATTCTTTCTAAAGTCTTTGTTTTGAAAACTAGAGAGAAACTGGCTTGAGAAAAGTCTGAGTCATGCAGGTACAACTTGCAAAGTATAAAAAGTGTGAGCTTTTCTTTGTCTGAAATAGTGGGAATATTTCAGGAGAACACACATTAGCCCCTGGAGATGTTATAGCATGACCAGTGTATAGGTACTGGCACAATTGCTCTAATTCATTTTGCCTAAATAGTCATGAGCGGCTCAATGTATTTTTCCATAATTCAGTGGAAATATGTATTTACATCATCCGGATTAGTTTCCAAAATATGACAACCATTAAGGAGTAGTAATGTAGACAAACAATCCCTAGTATCCTGGAAAAGATTCTGTCTTCTGCTAAGCCGTCCCCAGGGTATATGCCCTGGGAATATAAGCAAAGCTCCTTTAGGCCCCAGAACAAACTCAAACTGCTCTGTGGGACAAAATCTGCATCTGTCACTACTTTTTTTTCTCCATTTTTTTTTCCATTTTTATGTAATTCCATTCTTTTTCTCTAATCCTTTACACCTTACATGGGACCTCTGTATGCTGTTTCACACCTGGGTGACACTTATGGCAAATCCCAAAGATGACATTACAAACCGGCAGACTGTGACACCAAGGCACATGTCACTGGGATGAGCAGCAGTAGCCTTAGGCAACACCCTGGAATATGGTGTGATCTACTCCTAGTAGCACTAGATCAACATCCTCAATGTTTAACTACATAGTTTTGTGACTGTGCAGAAGGTCTCGGTTTGGTTTTGGTGTGGTTTTGTGAAGATGCCTTTTCAGTGTGTTCATTTTTGCCTAGTTTTGTGGGTTCACATATGGCTTGCATATAAGTGTTTTCTGTGATTTTTTTGGTCTTGTTTGCATGAATCTGGGTGTATGTAAGCATATATCATTTCAGAGCAGCTTAAAACATGGGTAGTCATAGTCATAAATAGTCTCCAACAAGATCTTAAATTATATGAAATTGAGATAAAAGACATTGTATAAATCAGCTTTTTTCCTTTGCAATTTTTGTTTTTCATTTACCCATCCATACTGAAATACTTATTAAAATATTTGTCTAGGAAAAAAGCAGATAAGTAATACACAATACAAGCCTGGAAGAACTTTTAAAAATGAGAACATTAGCAGGATCAGGATGATAAGGTTAGAGAAGTACAAATAAAAAGGAATGTAATAAAAATACATACTAAAGTAGAGTATCTAGAAATAGGAAAACATTGTGCATCTGAAACTGGTTCAGGAAATTATTTTCCTAAGGTGTCGTAACCCATGGAAGTCATTGCCATAAGGCATCAATGGGGTTACAGTGTTGCCTATCTGAATGCCTTTAAGCTTTCACATTTATAAGAGCCCAGAAAGTGCTCTCACTATAAGGCATAGAAACCCTCCTTCCATTAAGACAGCAGCCAACTGCTAATTGGCAGGGCTAAGATGAAATCTCCCATAAATCTCCTGCATCCATAAGCACACTTCTTGTGGCTTTGATGTGGGTTTCTTGCAAGTTAAACCTTATGAACAGCTCTGTCTGTTCAGGGTGAGTCCTGAACTCATCAGACCCCACGGCACAACGTGGTTGGCACAGCAAGGTGCTGCCTTCCTCTTGGGTTGCAAACTTACCTCTCACTGTGCTCACGGTGAAGACACCAAGGCAGAAGATGACCAGGAGAGCTGCGGCGCGGAGTTTCATTGCTGGTGGCTTCTTCATCAAGGCTGAGAAGAAAGTGATTAATGTGAGCCCCCTTCAAGGAGTTTATATATTCTCATGCAGTGGTCAGTTCTCGTGTGTGGTGTTGGGGGGGCGTCATGGTAGGGCTGACTGTGAGTGGAAAAAGTTGAGCAGAGGTACTTTTTCTGGTGACAGAGAACCACCTCCTTTCCCTCACCCATTCTGTGCTAGCCCCCTGTGAAGCCTTTTCCTGCCCAAACCCCGCTGTGGTTGCACTTGCTTCTCGGTTGCAGCTTGGGTTTATTTCAGGCTGCAGAAAGTGAGAGCTCTTGTTCTGTAGTGGAAACCTTTAAGAAATGTTCCTGTCCTTTCACGCCTAGATTCAGAGTATCAGCTAAGCCCCACCACAGAGGCATGGAAAGACAGTCAGAGTAACCTTTTTGACCATTGGGACATTAAAAGCGGAATTGTGAGCTGAAGGATAATGGAAACAGGAATGAGTGGCTATTTTTTTTTTTAGTGGTAGCTGCAGCCTCTTGGTCACTTTAATGCATAGCGTCAGATGCTTCTTTAGAAGAGCATCACCCCCATCTCCTGTGCATGGTGGAGCTTGTAAAAGCTCTTCTGTTTTCTTCCTGTGCTTTAGGATAATGCTTATATCACTAAGTGTAGGAAGAAGGAAGAATAAGTATATCTTTGCCTGCAGCAATAGTTCAGCCTATGGCCATCCATAACTGAAATATGGTGGTTTCCAAGAGGACAAAGAGGTTATAAAATATAATTCTCTTTATACTGTGGTCTCCTTAATATAAAGAAGGGAGCCCAAGGAAGACCCCAGGCAACCAAACAGGCACAATTCATGACAGAGAAGAAAAAAAGTTCATTGCACTTGTGTGTAAAGATAGTGTTAATAACAGGGCTATAAACTTTTTTTTTCCCCTCCAACTATGCTTCTACCAAAGGTGTCTTACATGCAGCCTGTGCTTCAGCAGGCGCGTGTTACTTGGTTTTATGTGTCCTTTCCATGTTGTGCAGAGATGGTGGGGTTAACTGGGCAGCACTGTTGCATGCCAGTCATTCTGGGCCTGTAAATATTTTCCAAGCAAGCTGCGACTCCCTAAGCAATACCTATATCAGTGCTTCAACTAGCATCTTCATCTAGAGCATCCAGTGAGACCCCTCTGGGACCCAGGATAAACAGGTGAGCACCAGGCTGCCTTTTGCATGAGACTTTAAGGCAGTGGTGCACAGCACTACTTAGAGCTGAATTTCTCCCTGCTTCCCCCCTGCCTGCAGGCCTTATCTCGGCTGGCCACTTCCAGTTTTTCCAAATTCTTGGTAACATTCATATAAACTTGCATTGCACAAGGAGTCGAATTACTTCCCTGATATCCCGCAAGAAATTTAAGATGGAGCTTGTTATTTGAAGCCTGGGCTGTAATGACTGCTCGGTATCCAGAGGAACAGTCTGTGGCTGTTATAGGCAGAAAATCACAGTTTTGTTTACTTATATAAACACGTTCTTTGTTGCTTTCCCTGTGATTATTTCATCTCATGCATGCCATGCAAAGCAGGGCAAAAGCAGTCTGTAAGGCAGGTGGAAGTTGCTGCTTTGTAGGAAAGCTTGCTTCAGCTAACCTAGGAAATAGAAATGCAAAGAGGTGGAAAATTAGACATAAATCTTTGAAGTTGAAACTTCAAGCAGAGCACCTAAAGCACAGGCCTAAGGTTACAGGGGTGAGTAATCATACTGACCTCTGCAGCGCTACCAGAGCACTACCAGAAAATATCAAGTCTAAGCACTGCGACAGCCTAGGGTTTTGTTAACTCTGCCTGAAATCCCTCCTGGAGTGAGAAATGGCAGCTCATTGCTCTTTGTTGGCTTTGATGTACAAGACAGCAACCTTATCACCAACAGCAGAGAGAGGTTCTCAGCCCATTAAGAAAGGAGATGCCCCGCGGTTTGTGCTCCCTGGCGTGGGCTGTGTGTGTGTGTGTGTGTGCGTGTGTGTGTGTGTGTGTGTATGTGTATGTGTATGTGTGTGTATGTGTATGTGTATGTGTGTGTATGTGTATGTGTATGTGTGTGTATGTGTATGTGTATGTGTGTGTATGTGTATGTGTATGTGTGTGTATGTGTATGTGTATGTGTGTGTATGTGTATGTGTATGTGTGTGTATGTGTATGTGTATGTGTGTGTATGTGTATGTGTATGTGTGTGTATGTGTATGTGTATGTGTGTGTATGTGTATGTGTATGTGTGTGTATGTGTATGTGTATGTGTGTGTATGTGTATGTGTATGTGTGTGTATGTGTATGTGTATGTGTGTGTATGTGTATGTGTATGTGTGTGTATGTGTATGTGTATGTGTGTGTATGTGTATGTGTATGTGTGTGTATGTGTATGTGTATGTGTGTGTATGTGTATGTGTATGTGTGTGTATGTGTATGTGTATGTGTGTGTATGTGTATGTGTATGTGTGTGTATGTGTATGTGTATGTGTGTGTATGTGTATGTGTATGTGTGTGTATGTGTGTGTGTATGTGCTCACTGAGAGCGCGCGCGGCGCTGAGCGGGAGGGAGCAGCGTGGGCACCAGCCTGCGCAGAGCCCTGCAGAGCGGCGGGAGCTCCTGCAGAGCGCGGATTCATCCCGATGGGGCGTTTCAAAGCCGGTGCCTTATTCACAGTTTTCCCACTGTTCTTAAGGCGGCACAGAAAAAAGGCCTTGGGACAAATTGTTCTCCTCTTTGTAGCTGTCAGTTGTCACTGTCTCGCAGCCGTCCTGCGGTGTAGCTGGTTTACCTCTGGTGATGCCCACTTTTCGGAGGGCAGTTTATGGGTGGGAATGGTGGATCCCTGTGGCTGACACTTGTGATCTCTGGTGTTGCGATGGGACCCACAAGGCTCATTTGTCACCTGCCCTCGACGCGTGGTGCATGTTTGTGCAAGCACATCAGGACGATGCTCTTGGTGCCCACAGTGCTTTTCCTACTGCTGCTTCTCTGGATGAGCTGCATGGTAACAAGGCTGCTTGTCCTAGGGCTTCACTGCCCCTTGTGTGGCTTGCTAATCAGAGGGTGCTTTCAAAGTACAAACATAACCTGAAGTACCGGAGCTCACTCTGGAGTGAAACGATCACATGCAGCTGGTGCTACAGCCATGGATGCAACAGATGGAATGATTCTGGAGTTCTTTAATTGTTTGTAATGACTGACTAGTGGGCTGACAGGTTAACATTAATGTGATACTTCCTAGGTATGATGTTTTGGGGGCTATTACAGCTGTCTTTCCTGTCTTTTCACTCCTTGAGGGAAAGCAGGTGCAGACAGTGGGTACCAGAGGCATGAATGTGTAGCTGCAGCAGTTTCCAACCTTTGGAACCTCCTCAACTATAGGAACCTGCAAGCTTTGAGTTAGTTCCATAGGTTTTCCATGTAATATGGGACAACAATCAAGCTTCTATAACTAGGACCGAAAAAGTCAAAAGCATGAGGAAGTGGACATAGGAAAAATGCTGAAGAGATGGACCTGTGCCCCCCTTTGTGGGACTCTGGAGTGACTTTGGGTCACAGGATCTCCCATGGCCTTGTCTGGGGTCTGCAGCTCCCCCTGAGCAACTGGCAGGAGGTGGGCAGTGGAAGCCCCTGTGCCAGCAGCCCGCATTTTGGGGGTGACAGCAACTGGTCAGGATGAGTGAAAAGCAGTTTGAAGTTTCTCCTTTGTTTGAAGAGACCGGTACCCACGCCTTTCATCTCCCAGTAGTGAGATATTTTGGGATAGGGATTGATAGACACAGCCTGACTCTCCAATTTGTGATGTCCCATGTATCAAATGGAATAATTCTGTAAAAATCAACAGATAACAAGACGGCAAGGACAAACTAGGTCAGACTCTAATGTGGAAGAGCGGACATCTAGGCTCCAGATGCTCTTTCTGACAGCACTGATTGTAAAATCCTCACCACTGCCTGCTGGCTCTGCCAGCAGCTGCAATGATCCAGCTTAAACAGAGCCCTGGGAGAGCAGGGCTACAGCAGCCTCTTGCCTGAGGAGTTCAAAGACCCTCTGAAACCCTTCAGCCCCCATCCACACCACGCAGGCTGCCTTCACCTTACAAATAAAGTAGCTGGGGCACAGAGAGGTGAAAGGATTTATAGAAGTTCTCATGCACAGCAGGAAGCAAAGGCACCTTTGGCTGTTCCCGCGCTAGCACTGCTCCTAAGCAGCTGGTGAATGCAATAGTTTTCTTGTTTTTTAACAATGTCACTTAAACTTAACTGAAATAACTGTTGTTTATACCCTGTTCCTCATCAGCAGTCCCTCTGGAGGGAAAGGAACATGCAAGAGCGCTGGGCATAAAATCAGAATTTCCTTACAGGAGTGAAGGGTATGAAGCAGCCTGCCACACTGTAGTTAGCTTTCAAGAAAGAGAGGCAAAGAGCTTCCCGAATGACCAAGTTCTTGTGTATTCTTCATATACTCCTAGAAGTGAGCACCCCTGGAAGATAATCTGGCAGCCCTTTGAAGTCCAGGATAGGCCAGCAAGTCACTAACACTGGGCACTCAGAGAGAGGGCCTCAGCACCTCTGGTTAGATGCATGTTTTTGAAAAATCTGCAGTAGACATCACAGAAAAGAAACAACTTTGCTCCCTTTATTTTTTCTTTGTCTTTTTTTGATATGTAGATATATTCACTTTCCCTTCCCTTCCTTTCCTGAAAGGTCTATTGTAAAGCTAAAATCATCTGCTGATTATTATGAGCCTTTTTCTTTTTTTTCAGGTGCTATCTCAAGAGTACACCTGCCTCACTCCACTCAATCCACCATAGGTCACCCTGGTAAATCCGTAGCAAACACTTCTGCCACAGGGAGTCTTAAGGATTTTACTGCATTCTCCCTTTGCATTTGCGTTCTGTGAATAAAATGTACATCCTTGTTCCTACCATATTCTTTGAACTTTGTCTTTACTATCAAACTCACATAATTTTCTGGCCTTTTTTTTTTTAATATCAAGAGGTTTTTTTCTTGCCC